AAATAAAATTATAGTCAAACACTGTAAAACAACATTACTGATTTTTATTGTGGAAATTATTCCCAGTTTTGACCTTTTTTTGGATTAACATAAATTAATTAGATTAATTAGATATCAACTGTAATTTACCAAAACAGAGAAAATGTGTAAAATAACAGTAAATTGTTCAAAATACTACAGAAAAAAAGTTTTTTTTTTGTTTGTCTTTTTGTTTTACAGTGTACATAAGAGGACTTCATGGACTCGTTCTTTAGTCGGTTCGGTCTCGTGAGTCTTATTTTTTGTTCAGTCTAATAGATAATCCTCCATATTAATGTGACTTCAGAGCTGTTTATTGATGATCGAAGCCGCTATTATCCAAGAAAAAAATTAAAATAACCTTCGGATCCCTTTAATGGAACATTTAAGAAAAGTTAAAAGACATTTTAGATAAATTAATAATCATGTGAAGGATTTCTCCTGATAAAACCGACTTCTGCTGCTCATTTCCTCAAACACTTTAACCTGCATTTTTAAACTCTCCTTCTACTTCAGGAGGTATTTCAGGTTTCTGTAGCTGCACTTCAGAGCCAATTATTGCATCTTTTACTTCTTTACATTCTTCTATCGGCTGAAGATTTTTCAAACAAAACACGAGAAATGCTCTGAAACTACGAGAATAAACCACTCAGCGGTGAATGAAGTGTCTGCTGCTCCTTTAAAACGCTGCTTACAGGCAGAATGATCCTACTGAGGAGTATTTTATCATTTAAACTGTGTGCAGGATATGAGCATGATGTTGTCAGTTTTAGCATCACATCACTCCGCTTATTTCATCTTCAATTTGTTTTCTTTAAAGTGGAGCTAATTCTAGTTTTTGGCCACTTTAATCTCGTTAATATTCCTGCTAGCAGTTACAATATATCAAAGAACAACACTTAAATTAGACTCTTTTTTGTGTTTTATTCATAATTTAGTTGTAAAACCCACCATGTTTGTTCTTTGCAGTTGGCAGCACGAGTTAAATAAAGAAAAAGTAGAAAACACGTTCGCTCAGCTGCTTTTAAAATAGTGACCAGCTGCCTTTTCTTTTTTTTTTTTTGCCGGCATCAAATGACGAGTTTCTGTCAAAGAAAGTAAAAATACACGTGACCTGCTGAGAGCTGAAGCTCAGAAGCTTCGCTCTGACTGACGCTGATTTATGTGGAAATAACATGAACGTTTCCAGCGTTGAAATGTTAGCCAGCAATGTTAAAGGCTGCAGCCATAAAAGAAAGGTAGAGCTGCTACAAGGCGGTGCCCTCCAGGGGAGTTTAGTTTCCTACATCTTAGAAGCAACGTGTCGTCCAGTTGGTTGAAGCCGTGACGCCACAGTTTTCATATTTTTCCAAAGTTTTAAGAGACAAACACATTGTTAAGAGCTTCTGTAGATGTTAGTGGATGTGAGGCGCTTACGTAAGGCTTACATAAAGCAGCGTCTGCAATGTGCATCAGCGTGATTTACGACGTGCAGAAAAGCTCCGTCCTCGTCCCGTCCCGTCTGATTTCAGCCTCAACATCACCAGAAACTCTGACAACGTAACGGTTTTCTCTGGGCCCCCCGGACTCG